ATGCTCTTTTGTTTAGTAATTGGTAAATCAGTGGAGGCTTCAGTCAATAACATAAACCTGTGGAGCTCAGATCAACATAGGAGAGGCTATGATGTGGTTAAATGTTTTTTGAGGTGGTGGAGAAATGGAAAAAAGGCTCTGATTCACAAGCAGTGGGTACAGCTGTGTACGTGGAAGTGTGCCCTGGAAAAGCAGGAGCTGAAATCCAGGTCCTTGCCAGGGGCACCACACCAGAATGTGGTTCCCAGGGGCACTAAGAGTAACTTTGGGTTAGGTGTGGTCCAAACAACCTGTGTTTCACATACCACATGGCTCAAGTAGGGTCAATGTTACACTTGTTGGGAAACCACCAATATTTAAATGAGGATTTCTTTTTCCTCCTGCTTTTTTAGAGAGAGAAAGCTCACCAAGGTGAGGCAAATGCAGTAATTAAATTTGTGTAATGAATTTGTTTTGTTGCCTTTCAGCTATTTTAGTTCCTTGGAAAAACATACTGATGCTCTTATCTTATAGGGTCTTTCTGATAGGTTCAATAGCTGATGACTGACTAAACTACAAAAAAACTAATACTTTTTTCTTTGCTCTACTTAATATTGAATCCTGATCTTGACCTGCAAGGTATACAAAGCGTAAATAAACTAGAGACAGTAGGTAAAGGAATCTGATTAAGATAGTGATTAAACATACAACTAATTGCTGGGGTAGTACATGCTATAGGTTCAATAAATCGCAATAAAATTTTTCTTAAAATAATTGTGAATAGATTTCTTTTAGTAAAAAAACTTTTTTTCAAAATAGCTAGTCTGGCAGCCACAGATTCCTTGTGACTTTGGCTAAAAATAACTAGATGGGTGTACAAGTTATTATATGATGAAAAAATAAATTCGGTTTCTTGCCCATAATGTTTTCTGGGAAATGGACTTCTGTTGCTCTGTAATGTTTTTATGCCTGAAGTCCTTGAGGGAAGCAATCTGAAGAGAATGCATGGAATAGGAATACCAGCTGTGAAAGGGAATAAGCACTGGAACCAGCTTCCCTTCACAAACCCACATGTTGTTGGAATAGATAGAAGAAAAATTGGAGTGCCTTTAGCAGCCTAATTGGTTATTTCCTGTTCTTCTGCTATCATGCTCCTGAGAAATACCCAGAACTCCTGGTTAATATCAGCATTTATTGACTTACATCTTCCAATATTTAAATTTTTCAATTATTTTTTGGTGGTGGTAATTTTTGCCTTTTTCAGCTTTATGGTTTTTACTGCTTTCAGTATATGGAATGACGCTAAAAAGAAATTACACTGGTAATTATTGGATTAAAGTAACAGTGGAAATATCAGTCTGAGGTCTGGAAAAAGTATTTGGGATGGTTTAAGACAGCAGTATAGATTACCTCTCACAAACATTCTATCTTACTAAACAGAAATCTCTTATGTTAAGGAACAATATATTATGTAGGAAAGTGTGTAGAAACAAACAACAAAAATGACCAACAACCAAAAAACCCAAGAAAAAAAGCCATGCTGAAGGGGAAAAAAAACCTCTTGAGGCATGCTCAACCTCCTGAAAGTAGGGAGATGAATTATTTTCCTTCAAACAAGAATCCTTGAGAGTGTTCATTTTATTGGTAAGGTAAAAAATACTTGGCAGAATGCAGTTTATTAATCCCCAGTTTGTTTTTATCTTGTTCTGTTTGTTGAGTGAAGATGCTGTCTGTGTTCCATATTTCTTGCAGCTCTGAGAACATATTAAAAATATGCCACTGTTTAGAATTGTATTGGCAGGTAAGAAAGTCTTTAAACTTTCTTTTGATGTAAAAAATTAAGTTTTTCTTTCAGGAATGTAAGTTGTTATGTGATTCCTGAGAATCTGACAGATGAAATCTATTTGTTCGATAGTTACTGTTTCACTACTTTGCTTGACTCAAAATGTGAGCTACAAGCACTTTGATCAATGAATTGAAAAGTCACCTAGTTTCATTACACGGTAGTTCATTCAAATGCATCTATATCTCTGAAATCTTGTAGAGCAACACAAGTCAACAACAAATCTACTTGTGCTTTTTATTCCAGCTCTTTACAGGGCAGAGTGGCTGTTAGAGGCAAAAATTCCTTCTAAACCAGGCTCATGTGGACCTATTTTAGCCAGCTATTATCACTGCACTGTTATCACAGAAGCAAATAATTCTGTATGGACTTCAAAACTCCCAGAGACCGAATAAATATTTGAATTATGAGGCTGCAATGAGCTCTCAGCCAATGCAGATACTTTGCAAACTGTCCCTAAACTTGTTTAATACTGTGGATATATCTATTTGAAATCTGTTCTTAAGTTACTGTATATTTCTGTATTGCAAAACTCTAGGCAAATTTATTTAGTTAGGATGAAGTAATTATATATGCTGGAAATGTTGGACTCTTTTTTTTTCATTACTTCTAAGACTTATTAAAGGTTGTTGTTAATGAATACTGTTTGAAATAGATAATCTTCCGTTACGGATCAAATTCATCCTTTTTTGTTGCAATGAAATGGCATGGTACTTGGGGACAATTATAATTGCTGACACCAAAGTTTTGAGATGGATACATCTTTTAAAATTGATATGTGAATGAAAAAAGGGGTTGGGAGGTGTGTGTTTGTGAATTTCCTCATTAGGGATAGTTTTGGAAACACTTTTGCACTCCAAATCAGAAAAATGAATCAGAGGACATCAAGTTACTTGCTGCCACTGGCAACAATCTCTAGTTTCAGTCAACTCGGCTTAGGGTTTAGCAACCCCGTATGGAAGAGCTAAGTCTCCTCAGCAGCCTGCGGTAGACATAGTTGTATCATCCACATTTCTTAAAAAGTATGCTTGCTTTTTTTTTTTTTTTTTTTTTTTTTTTTTTTCCATCTGTGAACCACCTGTGCTCGTATATACACCCTGGTTGGAACAGCTGGCCCTAAATCTCCCATGACTGAAATCACTTTTGTTTCTCTCTCCTGGCTTTAATAGCAGTTATAGTTTCTTTTTCTGTTTCTGATCAAAGGTTTAAATTAGGAGCAGTAGGGAAAGCAGTTTTTGATCTGCAGGTCGGTATAGTACATTGATCTGCCATGAGTGTTTCTCAGTTTATTTCGTGTGTTGGTTCCTACTTAGAATTGGTGTGAAGCTTCCCAGGCAATTCAGCCCACAGCTCAGCTTACATTTTTATAACTTCCATACTTGCAGTTTCTAGAGTTGCTGCTTGACAAGGTGGCCTTTTTTTTTTTTTTTTTCAAGTGTGCCCTTTCCATCTGTGAACCACCTGTGCTCGTATATACACCCTGGTTGGAACAGCTGGCCCTAAATCTCCCATGACTGAAATCACTTTTGTTTCTCTCTCCTGGCTTTAATAGCAGTTATAGTTTCTTTTTCTGTTTCTGATCAAAGGTTTAAATTAGGAGCAGTAGGGAAAGCAGTTTTTGATCTGCAGGTCGGTATAGTACATTGATCTGCCATGAGTGTTTCTCAGTTTATTTCGTGTGTTGGTTCCTACTTAGAATTGGTGTGAAGCTTCCCAGGCAATTCAGCCCACAGCTCAGCTTACATTTTTATAACTTCCATACTTGCAGTTTCTAGAGTTGCTGCTTGACAAGGTGGCCTTTAAGCAAGGTTGAGCTCTGGAAACATCCTGTCTACATCACTATGGAGCTATGAAAGCTGCATATTATTCATATTATTTATATTAGCATAAATGCAATTTCCTGCCAGTTACCTCCATGAAAGTGTGCACAAATTTAGGTCTGTGTGAATCAGGAAATACCAAGCACTATTAAAGTAAAGGTTTGGTTGTAAAAAATAAAGTTTCAGGTGAGAAAAGAAATAGTTCACTATTCAGTCAGCTAGTGAAGGAAGAGAATGAGAGTCTGATTCACTCGAGTGCTGTTGTATTTATGCAGATGTCTGCTATTCAGCAGTGAAGATTTTTTAGAAAACAATCATGTTTTCTAAATTATAAAGCAATCATCTTTTTAAAATTATATTTAAATGACACTCTCCCTTTGCGCCTGTCAGAAACATTACTAATACTTAGAGACCAGTGCAAAATCTTCATTTGCCTCTGTAGCTAAACACCATTTTTCTTAGTAGGCAGAAGATACAAGAGCTGGTTTCAAAGAAGCAGCAGTGATGTGTGTACAGCAGTCAACACAACTCCCTGAGACAGACACCACTATTTATATGATGCAAAAAGGTTTTACTTTTTTTTTTAAATAAATGTAGTTGCTATAGAGATATCTGAAACTCATCACTGTCTCTAGTTACATCCTGTGACCTATTATTTCTGAGGAATAGTCCCCGAAGCATCATAGGAATTGGTTACATTTTCCTTTTCCTAAAAATTGCCCACTCCCTCTGTGTGAATGGCTCAAATGAAAGGGGTTGTCTGTGAATGATCTAAGCATAGTTGTAGGAAGTTATTTTGCCACTAGCAAAACCATTGCTGTATGAAGAGAAACCATGCCTCTGAAATAGGCTATTTTCTGCCTTTGCTCAAACTCTTGGGCAGCCAGGAGACTATATCCACTGGTGTGACTTTTAGATCTCTAAGTGCTTCACTGGCCAGCACCCTCCACCGCAGTGGCATGGGAGCAGCACAGTGTTTATTTCGTAGCTTGCAGGGGGTATGGTATTTTCTAGGCTTATTTTTTTTTTACTGTAAAAGTATATGAAGGTAAGCAATGATCTTAAGATTGTGTTGACAAATATGTTGCTGGTCATAAATGAAAAAACCAGTATGTCAGTTGGTGACTGGTAAATGCACTTGCGGGGAAGTGAACTCGTGCTTTTATAAATGTGGTTAGCGATGTGTGAAAGCTACTATACAACATTAAATACCCAGTCTTGAGAACAATGGGAGATATCTGGGAAGAGAATTGTCTGATACACAGTTGCTGGAATTCACACGCTTCCCAACATCCATGGCTCACTAACTCTCAATCAGGTTTGTGTTGTGCCTCTGTGATTTTTACAGGAAAATTTACAGCGTGCCACAGGGCAGCTGGACGCAGATCCATTGCCACTTCACACAGGGCAATGGAACCCTGTGGCTCCCCCTCAGCTTGCAGTCCTTCATCTAGCAGTTTGTGATGGGGAATCACGAACTGGTAGACAAAGAAACAGTACATTAGTAAAATTTAAAACAAACAAACAAAAAACAAAGTAAAGAAACTAGCAGGCTAATGTAAGGAAGGAAAAGAAAAAACACCAATGGCAAACTTCTGACAGGCTGCTGTAGTTTGTGATATATAAGTACTGGCAATTTTTTTCTGTTTCATTTGCCTATCGGTTCTGTTGGTTGCTATTTCATATTTTGGTGGTATTATGGTTCCTCTAAGATGCATGGAGTCATCTTTAAGGACTGTCTAATATGTATTGTATTTTTTTCAGTGTTTTATAACAGAAGAAATCTACTTTAGTTAGCAATTCTACATCTTTCAGTTTTGAGTCCTTAGTCTTCCTTAGCTAATTGTGTTTGCTGATCTTCTCATCTACCTAATTACAAAACTGATGTTCTCATCTACCTTTATTTTCAAAATAGGCACCTCTTTTAAAAACAAATTATGAAGATTACTTTGAATGTGTGTTGGCACATATGCATTGGACAGGGCAAGAGGTAGCGGGCACAAACTTGAATATAAAAAGTTCCATCTAAACATGAGAAGGAACTTCTTTACTTTGAGGGTGGCAGAGCACTGGAACAGGCTGCCCAGAGAGGTGGTGGAGTCTCCTTCTCTGGAGACATTCAAAACCCGCCTGGACACGTTCCTGTGCAACCTGCTCTAGGTGGACCTGCTGTGGCAGGGGAGTTGGACTAGATGATCTCCAGAGGTCCCTTCCAACCCCATATCATTCTGTGATTCTGTATGGGTATTGCTGTGAGTTCAAGGTTAATCTTGGGTGGGGTGAGGAGGTCTTCAAGTTTTGTATCATATATTAACCTGACTTAAAAATCTGCTGTTTCGAGCTCAGCTGCCTGCCTGGCAGCAGGCGCATGCTAGAGTGAGAAAGTGGCCAGAATGTGCCGTGGCTCAGTGATCAACATTATTTCTTGACTTCAAAATACTGCTTTATGACATTATCCTGCATACTTTCTGAATTTCATAGTTGATTGTGAGTGCAATGAAACCACCAGCACCACCAAAAAAACCAACCAAAGGCCTCTGAATAATATTATTCCTGTGCTTTATTACATGGTCATACTGTGTTTCGTCCAACATCCTTACCCAAGATAAGGATGTTGTCCTTATCCAGTCTGAACTTGGAATCGTAACCTGCAAATATCTGTAGCTTCTTTTACAGACTCTGAATGTGATTGTGCTAATTCAAGATCATGTGTAACATAAATCAAAAGCTTGGAAAGGAAAGGGTCGATCTCCAGGACAGTTTCAGGCCATATGAGATGTTCCAGGGAAGGTTAAAGGGGACAGGTGAAGCTATTGCAGTGCCTAAGGAGGTGGCAGTAGGAATAATTATCTCAGCTGACTACCAGATGGTTGCTTTCTGAAATATGTAAAGGGGGTGGGATGGAAAATGGAGTGTGGTATGGGGATGTTCTATTTTTGAGTTAAGTTTAACTGAGCAAAGAAGAGAAAGTCTCTCACATTTTTATGCCTACTTTAGGAGAAAATAGGAATAGGAGTTTCTTTTTTCTCATGGTTGTTTCCATGGCTGTTTTAGCTGGCATGATGGTGCCTGCGATTTAAAGGACCTATGTAGGTAAGGATTTTAATTTTATTTCACTCTCTGCCTTTTATTGCAGAGATTTCTCCCCCATTATGCATTTCTCTTTTGATATAAGCTTCACTTTGAGCTTTGTAACACCCTTCCATGTCTGTAAACTAATAACTCAGACTAAGTTGCTGAGAGCTGCTCCTATGAGTCCTATACATTTTTTAAGTTGTTCCAATTCAACAACCAAATATTAATTTAGGAGCACTTCTCCTCTGTCTGCTTTCGATTTTAGTTGCCTGTCTGTTAATTTATAAATGATGTCCATCAAAGAATAACATAAAACAGGAAGGCAAGTTACAGTTGGTGGGTTTTGTTGTGCCATTCTAAGAAAATAAGCCCTGAATAAGAGGAGATGCAAGACATTGTTTTTCTTTATAGAGTGCAGGGATTCATTCAGGAAAAAGAAACCTCTAAGTGGAGGGGGAGCGATGATAGAGCTGGAGCCTGCCTCTGCTGAGGGTAAGTCACAGTGTACTGATGCTGTGCGGCAGGAGCAGATTGGAGAGTCTGACTGCAATCTCCTTTCGTTTACTGTCGCACTGGGTGGCTAGGGTAAAACAGCAATTGCTTATATGACTAAGGAATATTGAGAATGAATTCTAGCTGTCTTCCCTTGCAATTTAGCTGCTGGAAATTATTATGAGCTAGTATCATAAGATCAGTCAGTATGAAGAACTGTCATTGGAGAACATCTGTGTTTAAATGATCAAGCAGTGCTATCATAAAGATTGCTTAATTCTTCTAATATGCCCCATATATTTATGTGTGACTAACCATAAGTAGAAACAGCACAGCAGATGTTATTTATTTTTGAAAAATTAAAAAAGTGGCCTAGATATGGGGCTTTTCAGTGTAGGAGGTGAGATAATCATAAAAAACAGAGGGTGGTACGATGCTGGCATATCTGAAAGGCTAGAGAAGTCAGCATACCATTTTAATGTCTGGAAAAGTTCCAGGTTTAATGAGCATTTAAGCTGTTTTCTGCTGTGGGAACAGCATAATGAATACTGACAAGCCCGGGTTGCAGGTTGGCTGACACAGCTGTCCTCAGGATTCAAGGGCTTTAATAGTTGCCTATCCCTGTGCTCTTCAGTGTTTTTGAGTAACCCCCCGGCCTCAGACTCAGTATCCTTCCTGACAGTGAAAGCAAGTAAAAGACTTGGAAAATTGCTTTCTCACCACTTCTGGAAGTGATAAAGAGTCATGTCATCTTTACAACAGAAAGTCCTCCTGTGTTTCAGTGTGCTATGCATAAATGTCTCTTTGTTATATACTATTCTATACATACATATCTGGGGAGAAAGGTGGATGCAAGTCCAGGATGCTATCATCTCTGAAAAATATTATAATAATCTTATTTCACTAAGCATAAGTTCTAACACTAGTGAAAGGAAGCAGGTGGGTTGCACAGCCCTCTGGCACAACACTGCTGTTTGTCACAACAGTCCTTACACTGATTGTAAGTGGGACTGTTTTAAATGCATATGAAACAGAAATAGCCAGGACAGCTGCCAGGTGAACTGTGATACTCTTTTGTTGTACCTGTATGTTCATAAAATTACAGAATAGTTTGGGTTGGAAGAGACCTTTAAAGGTCATCTAGTCCAAGCCCCCTGCAACCATTAGAGACATCTTCAACTAGACAGGTTGCTCAGAACCCCATCCAACTTTACCTTGAATGTTTCCAGGAATGTGGGGCATCTACAAACTCTCTGGGCAATGGGTGCCAGTGTTTCACTGTCATCATTGTATCTAGTCTAAATCTACTCTCTTTTAGTTTAAAGCCATTACCCATTGTCTATTGCACCAGACTGCAGAATAGTCTGTCCCTATCTTTATAATAAGTCCCCTTTATATTTTTATATAAAAATATCTATATATTTATAAGCCCCCCAAGACTGAAAGCTTCTTGAAGACCGACATCAATTGGTTCAGACTGCAAGTTTTAGAAATAATTTGAAGGAAAATGCAGGATTGAACTTTTTGCTCTTTATTTGAGTAACTATGCCATAACAAATGAATAGTAAAATTTGGCTCCTAACAGGTGGACTTGATTCTGAAAATACAGTATTGGCAGGTGAGACATCTGAGGGCCTCAGCAGGGTAGCACTTCCTTGCATTTAATATACCCTTCTGGAACACTGGGTCACCTTAAAAACAGTACATATCTGTTTGAGGCCTCCCAGCCTTAAAGAAGCATGATTTATCATCAATTATTAAACAAAAATCTATTAGCAGCTTACCCATAAAAGGTGGATTTAACACCATTTAGAGCCCTGATGTCAGCTGTAGCCTTTTGCACCAACTGCTGTGGGGGACGGGGGGAACAAACCAAAAAACCCACAACTAAACAAAACCACAACCAAACAAGCAGAAAAACCTACAAAAATAAAAAAAAACAACCCACCAAAACCAAAAAACCACAACCAAAACCCAGACAAAAAAAACCTGAAAAAACACCAAAACCTGGTAAAAAAACCAAACTCAAAAAAATCCACAAAAAGCCCAAACCAAACAATAAAATCCTCGGAACACTACAAGACAAGAATCATTGCTGTCCAAAGCGACTGCTGTCCCAAGTTACATTGGAAGATGTGCATTTTGTTGAGTGTCTCGCAATCAACAGCCTTAACTCCAAAATGTTATTACTCTGTACTGCTTTTTAAGCAGTATGCAGTACATATCCTCATGAGATGTTGTAGTCCTCTTGAGTTGCCTGCCTTTGCTTCAAAAGGTCATAAATTCTCCTTTTCTTTTTCCTGAGTTCCGGCCAAAGCTCTGTGTTCAGACAGGCTGCTCTTCTTCCTGTCTGGCTTGTCTTTCAGCATGTGGGGACAGCCAGCACCTGTGCCTTTAAGATTTCTTTCTTGAGGAATGTCCAGTCTTCTTGAACTTCTTTGTCCTTCAGGACTGCCTCCCACGGGACCTACCAACCAGTTTCCTAAACAGGCCAAAGTCTGCCCTATGGAAGTCCAAGGTGGCAGTTCCACTGAACCCCCTTCCTTACTTCTCCAGGTATTGAAAACTCTATCATTTTGTGGTCACTATGCCCGAGATGGCCTCAAACCATAACATCACACGCAAGTCTTTCTCTATTCGTGAACAACAGGTCCAGCAGGGCACCTTCCCTATTTGGCTCCCTCACTGGCTGTGTCAGGAAATTATCTTCCACACACTCCAGGAATCTCCTGGCCTGTTTCCTGTCTGCTGTGTAGTATTTCCAGCAGACATGTTAAGTTGAACCCCATGAGAACAAGTGGTTGTCATTGTGAGACTTCTCCCAGCTGTTTATGCCGCCTCATCCTGGTTGGATCTATCACAACCTCTCACCATGACATCTGCTTTTCTTTCTGTGATGGCAAGTATATCATAATTTTCCTGCTGCACAATGGCTTCCAGCTCTTCCTGTTGCCCGTGCTGCATGCATTGGTGTAGATGTTCTTCAGTTGGGCTATTGATCCTTTCACCTTTTTTGGTGGAGAAGCCCTAATTCCTACTTGACAATTCCTAGGTGCTTTTGTGATTTCTGGCCTCTGTTTATGTTCCCTTCACACCTGTTAGTGATACTCTTGCATGAGAGTAATGACCCTTACAGGAGAAATCCAGTTCTTATATCGTTCTTGTATATGAAACCCACAGAGTTAAACTCGTGTTGAGTACCCCTGTATTTCTGCGGTCAAACGCTTTGAGGCTTGCTCATCAAAACCGCTTATCAAATAGAGTTAATTAGTGTACTACAAATTTGGGATGCTCAATTTAGCATTACTGTGAAAAATTCATTTGGGATACTAGATTTTGCCATAGGGATTTGGAAGAGCCACCAGGAAAAAAAAAAAACCAACTCAGACTTCAGTCCTGGCTTGCTAATTAAAAATTAGAAGCGTTGGGAAATGTTTAATGCTTTAGTCTAATTTTTGACAAATATGATAGATCCTCTGGATAAGCTAATACAGAGAGATGCTCAAAAAGTCTAGGGAGGTCTAAAATGGTTTCTGTTTTGCCATGCTATTCTTGTAATCGGTTTGTGCCTCACCTGTCATTATAGATGACTTGGGCCAAAAAACGGGATAGGTTGGAGGCCATTTACTGCTGACACAAAGTTGTTGGTCTCCAGAACAGCTTTTGGTTTTACAGAGCACTGGTATTTAGAAAAAGGACTATATTAGTAGAGCCAAGTGAAATTTAACAGTATAGATTGCAAGGTTGTTCCCTTAAGAATAAAGGAGACTTCTTGTTGTGAAATGTGGCTTGTTTCCCTGTTGCACTGGTGAATCAGGAAAAGTATGTACTAGTAAAGCTATAGACATTGTGGATGATGCAACTGATCCTAACGTGTTGGGTGAGAAATCTTATATCCTCTTTGCCATAAAGAATATTCTGAATAAAACATTTATTCAGTAATTTTTCTGCTGGTAGCTATAGCACCACTCTTCTGATATATTAGTGATTTTAATCACAAATTTTAACTTTCAGCCAATTGTCACAG